TAATTGTTGTTTATTGATGTGTTCATGCAGGGCTCATCTCTAAAAGAGACAGTGGTCTCAGCATGACTGCCTGGCTAATTAAAGGTTAAATAAAAAAATAATGAAAACAAAATGTCTGTTTGACTCTGACTATTAGCATTAGAGGCCAAAATGCTACACGAAAATGCTACATGATGTTACAAATGCTACTATATACACATCAATTACACGTGTACAGGAAAAAGCAAACACAAAAAAATTCAAAGCAAAACACAATGATATGAAACGTTCTTCAGTAAAAAAAAAAAAAGGCACCTGATGTTACATGCAGTTACACACGTCACTGTTCGCACCTATCGAGCGCTTGTTTTTAAAAAAAAAATGCAAATTAATGCCAGATTTGTAGTTAATACTGCTGGAAAGACTACTACTACGGTTTATGAGCTTGATCTATTGTTCGATGCTTTCCCTACATGCTATATTCTACACTATATAGCCACTGCCATTCTAGCCTGCTCTAGCCTTGGATTACCACACCACATGTTACTGAATCCCACTTTTGACATTCATATTGTTATCTTGTTGCTACGGTAGTGTGTTTCCCGAGTGGCGCAGTGGTCTAAGGCACCTAGCTGTGCCACTAGAGATCCTGGTTCGAATCCAGGCTCTGTCGTAGCCGGCCGCGACCGGGAGACCCATGGGGCGGCGCACAACTGGCCCAGGGTAGGGGAGGGAATGGCCCTCAGGGATGTAGCTCAGTTGGTAGAGCATGGAGTTTGCAACGCCAGGGTTGTGGGTTCTATTCCCACGGGGGGGGCCAGTATAAAAAAATAATGTTGCTATATTTGCATCGCTTCATGCATTTTGATATGTTTAATAATTGTAGATTTATATTGCAATTTATTCATAATATAGTATTTCATAACTTAATTATGCATTCATGTACTATCATTATCATGTACTATCATTATCATGTACTATCATTATCGTGTACTATCATTATCATATACTATCATTATCGTGTACTATCATTATCATATACTATCATTATCGTATACTATCATTATCGTGTACTATCATTATCATGTACTATCATTATTGTGTACTATCATTAGCGTGTACTATCATTATCATGTACTATCATTATCATGTACTATCATTATCGTGTACTATCATTATTGTGTACTATCATTATCGTGTACTATCATTATCGTGTACTATCATTATCATGTGCTATCATTATCGTGTACTATCATTATCATGTGCTATCATTATCGTGTAATATCATTATTGTGTACTATCATTATCATATACTATCATTATCGTGTACTATCATTATCATATACTATCATTATCGTATACTATCATTATCGTGTACTATCATTATCATGTACTATCATTATTGTGTACTATCATTAGCGTGTACTATCATTATCATGTACTATCATTATCATGTACTATCATTATCGTGTACTATCATTATTGTGTACTATCATTATCGTGTACTATCATTATCGTGTACTATCATTATCATGTGCTATCATTATCGTGTACTATCATTATCATGTGCTATCATTATCGTGTAATATCATTATTGTGTACTATCATTATCATATACTATCATTATCGTGTACTATCATTATCGTGTACTATCATTATCGTTTACTATCGTTATCACGTACTATCATTATCGTGTACTATCATTATCGTGTACTATCATTATCATGTACTATCATTATCGTGTACTATCGTTATCATGTACTATCATTATCATGTACTATCATTATCGTGTACTATCATTATCATGTACTATCATTATCATGTACTATCATTATCGTGTACTATCATTATCATGTACTATCATTATCATGTACTATCATTATCGTGTACTATCATTATCATGTACTATCATTATCATGTACTATCATTATCGTGTACTATCATTATCATGTACTATCATTATTGCTTTTTGTTATTAGCTATTTCTCTCCTCCTTGCAGAAAAACATACATATGTACTATGTCACCCAGCGGCTGGCCAATCCTAACCACAGCCAATCAAGACAAGAATCACAGACTAATGCCAACTGAAACAGTCAACTGTCAATCATTTCATCTAACTCAACTGTACTGTGATTCAATGCATCTGAACAACCTTCCATGTCCTGTACCATCATCTGAATATAAAGCTTCAGGTCAGAGACATTAGGGTACTGGATGACCGGTGGATCGCATTGAGCCCTGGGCTGAAGTTGTGTTTAAGTTGTGTATAAGTGCTAATGCTAACATTTGTTTTTTTCAATGAATGTGAAATGTAATGCCATATTTCCATTGATATTTTCTCTCTCAACCTCCTTTCTCTCTCTCTCTCTCTCTCTCTCTCTCTCTCCTGTTTCTTTTCTCTCTCTCTCTCTCTCCTCTCTCTCTCTTGCCTCTCTCTCTTCTCTTCTCTCTCTCTTTCTTTCTCTCTCTTCTCTCTCTCTCTTTTCTCTCTCTCTCTCTCCTCTCTTCTTCCCTCTCTCTCCTTTCTCTTCCTCTCTCTTTCTCTAAGTAAGTATGGACACTAATAATCCAATGGTGATATCTCAATCCCATTTGAGTTGGTTGACAATGGTTACTCTACGTGTTGTGTGTGTGTGGGTGTGTGTGTGTGTGTGTGTGTGTTGTGGTGTGTGTGTGTGGTGTGTGTGTGTGGTGTGTGTGTGTGTGTGTGTGTGTGTGTTGTGGTGTGTGTGTGTGTGTGAGTGAATGGGCTGGTTGTCCCAGTTCTCCAGGGATCTAATGATTGCCATATGGTCACAGCCCCGACTTCCTCTTTTCTACAGGCTCTTTAGCCAAACTGCAAACACACACTCCCGTTCCATTCTGTAGCCAAACACACACTCCCGTTCCATTCTGTAGCCAAACACACACTCCCGTTCCATTCTGTAGCCAAACACACACTCCCGTTCCATTCTGTAGCCAAACACACACTCCCGTTCCATTCTGTAGCCAAGCAGCAAACACACACTCCCGTTCCATTCTGTAGCCAAACACACACTCCCGTTCCATTCTGTAGCCAAAACGAGCTCAACCTTTCCATGTCTAACGTTACTGACACACACACAATCTCAAACACACACACAATCTCAAACACACACACAATCTCAAACACACACACGATCTCAAACACACACACAATCTCAAACACACACACAATCTCTCACACACACACAATCTCAAACACACACACAATCTCAAACACACACACAATCTCAAACCACACAATCTCAACCACACACAATCTCAAACACACACAATCTCCACACACACACAATTCTCACACCACACACAACTCAACACACACACACATCTCAAACACACACACAACCAATCTCAAACACAACCACACAGATCTCAAACACACACACAATCTCAAACACACACACAATCTCAAACACACACACAAACAACACACCTCAAACCACACACACAATCTCAAACACACACAACCAAACAACCACACACAAATCCTCACACAACAAAACACCAATCTCACAAACACACACACAATCTCTCACACACACACAATCTCAAACACACACACAATCTCAAACACACACACAATCTCAAACACACACAAATCTCACACACACACAATCTCAAACACACACACAATCTCAAACACACACACAATCTCAAACACACACACAATCTCAAACACACACACAATCTCTCACACACACAATCTCAAACACACACACAATCTCACACACACACACAATCTCAAACACACACACAATCTCAAACACACACACAATCTCTCACACACACACAATCTCAAACACACACACAATCTCCTCACACACACAATCTCAAACACACACACAATCTCTCACACACACACAATCTCAAACACACACACAATCTCAAACACACCACACAATCTCTCACACACACACAATCTCAAACACACACACAATCTCAAACACACACACACAATCCTACTCACACACACACCAACAACACACACACAATCTCAAACACACACACAATCTCAAACACACACACACAATCTCAAACACACACACAATCTCAAACACACACACACACATTTCTCTCACACACACACAATCTCAAACACACACACAATCTCTCACACGCACACAATCTGAAACACACACACAATCTCTCTCACACACACAATATCAAACACACACACAATCTCAAACACACCACACACACACAATCTCAAACAACACACACACAATCTCTCTCACACACACAATATCAAACACACACACAATCTCAAACACACACACAATCTCAAACACACACACAATCTCAAACACACACACAATCTCAAACACACACACACAATCTCAAACACACCACACACATATCAAACACACACTTACACACACCAGACGTAAACACTCATATACATTACCTTCTCGTGCACCAATTCAGCACAAAGGGTGCAGTAAACTTACTATGACTCTGTGTCAACAGTATAACGTTGTGAAAGGCACAGCATTAACCCCACACGATGCAATAGGTTTGTTAGGTTAATTGACACTCATACAACTCATCAACAGAACATATTGTGGTAGGCTAACTGTCTGTAACTAACTGCGATCTGCATGTCCGCTGTAGCTCCATTGGTAGAGCACGGCGCTTGTAACGCCAGGGTAGTGGGTTCGAACCCCGGGACCACCCCATACGTAAAAATGTATGCGCACATGACTGTAAGTCGCTTTGGATAAAAGCGTCTGCTTAATGGCATATTATTATATGAATATATATCTGTGATCTGCATGTTATTACTTCTCAGAACGAGGGCTACCTACCAGTAAGAAGTCAACAAGCTGTTAGCTGTCCATCTTCTCAGAACGAGGGCTACCTACCAGACTACTCTGCTCTCAAACAGCAGCCAATCGGTTCCTCGAATCGCTCACGACGTCAACGACGCCCCCCCCCCCCCCCCCCCCCCCCCCCGGGTTGAAACTGACCGCGAGCTAAAGATGATAGAGGAGCGCGAGGCGAGGAGGAAAAACATCTCGGAAAACAAGGACAAGGAATTTCCTCCAATAAAACATGTTGGATTCGCTCACATTACTCCTGGAAAAAGTATTCTTCCTCACTCACCTCAATGTCTTCAATCACTTCAGGACCAGTCTGTTCTTTTCAGACACACAAAGAGAGCGGGAGAAGAAGAGAGTTACAAATCACTGCGAGAAAGAAGGGGAGAGAGAGGAGGTCCCCGATCCCACCGCCGGCGCCGCACTCCCAGACTCCCTATACCAGCGGGGAGACTTGCTAGAAGTCCCCCGGACTCTATTCACTCATTTTGGCATCTATTTAGGGGACAACCGGGTGGCACATCTGATTCCGGATATCTTGCCACTCTTTACAACCGACGAGCGTTCCGTTCAGGTGATGGTCACGAACAAACGGTTAGTTCTCGGCGTCCTATCCAAGAGCGCCAGCGTCCGGGTGGATACCGTTGAGGACTTTGCCTACGGCGCGTCAATTCTACTGAACGTTATGGACACTGCGGTGCAGAAACGACCGTTGGATGGCGAAGAGATCGCGAGGAGAGCGGAGAAACTGGTCGGGAAGATACCTTACAGCTTGCTGTGGAATAACTGTGAACATTTCGTTACTTACTGCCGGTACGGCAGCGCAGTCAGCATTCAGACAGACAAGGTAACGTAGGGATGTTGGCCTAGAAATTGGCCTTTCTTCTTTTTTTTTTACGCACTGCGCGGACCTTTTGAAGACGCCGTCTCTCTAAAAAGCTATATATCCCAAAGTTCCGCTAACTGCAAAATGATAACAGTGTTTTACTATATAGGCCTACATTTAATAGGTCCCTATATGTGTTGATTATACTATGGGGTGTGGGTCCTAAATATAATATATAATAATATAATAATATAATAATATAATAATAATAATATAAATGGGTCCTGTGTGCGCACTTGGAACTGTTGCGCGCTGGCGAGATGTTTTCACAGAGTGATGCTGCAGGACTTTTCCGTTTCTATAACTAGTTGCAGAATTTGAATACTTAAACATTAGCATATTAATTTATAGATTAAGTTAATGCTGTGAACTAGTAATTGCTGGTTTAGGTGATAGGCCTATATGCCTTGATAAAAAATAAAATAAAATAAAAGTTAGTCTATAACTCCATTCAAAGTAGGCTATCATAAAGCAGGATCATTTGATTAATCTCAAGTAAAATCGGCTAAAAAATAGTCTTTAGCCTACTTTACTCTATGAGCAATGTTAATGATGTGTATCAATATGGACCCATGTTTATAGAGCAATTGTGATCATGACGCAAAAGGCAGACAAAGAATACGTCCCAAATGACACCCTATTCCCTCTATAGGCCTATTATGGTGCACTAATTGTGTCCAGAGTCAAAAGTAGTGCCCTGCTCTGGTCAAAAGTAGTGCCCTGCTCTGGTCTAAAGTAGTGCACTATGGGGAATAGGGTTCCATTTGGAACTCAGGCAATTATTTGTCCAAGTATGCTGGGCCACAAAACTGGGTCAACCAATCCCGTACCCCAAGCCCTAAAAAAAGACAGACCCGACATGAAAATGTGAAGGACCGGCTCGATTCGGTCTTATGTAGCAACATTATTTTATTTTTATTTTTTATTTTTACATTGGATAAATGTAGAGAGTCAGAGCTAGAAAATGGTATATGATACACTACAGTTGAGGAACAATGGGAAAGTAATTATGCTTTGAAAGTTGATAAACTTCTAACCCCACTTTTGAGAAAATGGCCCTTGAATGTTTAGGTACACTTACTGGAGAGCTCTTCTTTGTCTACACCCATTCAGCATCGTTCACACCCTCTTAAGCCTTAGCCCCACCCATCTCTTTTAAGGATTCACATGCTAAACAGTATTGAAACCAAAGATTTCAAGACTGAAGGCTGGTTTGACATTACGTCTATTGACATGTCTATATACAGTGATCGCAGTGACATCATGAACCTTCTATTGTCTACTGACATCAAACTTGTCGTTGTCGTTATGAAAAAGTTTAAACACAAAAACGACAGGCTGCATGACATCAGCAGGCTGGTGGTCCAAAATAGCATAACTGGTGTATTTTAACACCAATAAACCCATCCGTTTAAAAATGAATGTAGTATATGTCAATCTAGCCAACCAGGCAATTAAAAGCAACTTTCTAAAGAATGTTTTGGTTAGATTCTAGCTTGTTAGCTAGCTAGCTAAAGTTAAGTTAGCTGTCTAGCCAGTTAAAATAAAGACCATATCATATAGCTGACAACATCTTAACTTTAGCTAATTTGTATTCATTATTACAGGAAAATAAACTCACAACAAGATCCTTATTAACAAGTTAATGGTGAGCTAATTACAGAAGATATCTTACGGTTGTGAGTGTGACGAAATAAAAGCAGAGCATTCTACCTGAGAATTCTAGAACTTGGACACCGTCTCGTTGGCCTAACGTTACATCCTAATTTGACTTTGGTGCAGGTCATGTTGTTCTTCACATTACCGTCTCTGGTAAACACACACTATATCAAATAAAATCAACGTATATTTCTCACATGCACAGGATACTGAAGGTGTAAACGGTACAGTGAAACGGTTACTTGCATAGTGAAGTCTTGTTTAAACATCTAGCTAGCTAGCTAAACAATGAACCATAATCCCAACTCATAACATTATTACCCTGCATGAATCTACAGGTAGCTAAAGCTAACCAACTAGGTTAAATGTTAGCTAGCTAGCTAACAATAGGCTATAACTATCAATGCAAATGGCTCTGAGATACTAATAATATTACTACATAGATCATACACGTAACGTTAGCTAGCGAGGCAACCAGTCAGCTAACGTTAGCTAGCTAGCTAACAGTATGCTTTAACTTGCAATGAAAATGACTTTTTTGACTAGATTAGAAACGTATAATATCTGAACATGTAGCTAGCTAAACTCTCTTACCCATATACATGGATGGACGCTTCTCCCTCTCTGTCACGGATGCCATGGTTGCCCTTAGTTTGAAGATGTAATCCGAAGACAGTTGTTTTATACAACAGCCTTCTCTGTGTTCTCTTTTGTCCTCCGCATATTTGCAATCAAATGCCTGAATTTTCTCCATCTCCTTAGCTATCATACTCTGCTTCCATCGGGCATTCCACTGATTTCAAAACTCGGTCCACCAGAAAGTGGAGAGCATTATCAACACTTTTGCAATTCTTCATGATATCTTTCAAAAAAGCCACATTAGAAAGGATTACCTACACTTACTGACCAGCTCATGTTATAGACAGAAGCATGCTACATGGCAGACCAATCCGAACTCATCTCTCTGCATTTTCAGCCCATCCATTATCTCAGCCAATCATGGCTAGCGGGAAGGTTCCTATCTTTTTCCTTGGCTAAACCAACTAGGCTCGTAATTTAAAAATGTTATTCGTATTTACAGATGGCATACACATTTGTTATTAAGGTACATGAAAGTTCACATGTTCCAGAAGGCATTTCTGCCCCAAAACGCATTTTGATAAAAAATTTTTTAAAAAACTTCAAATGCCTCTCCTGTGAAGTAGTGAAGCGCGACTAGTTTCCTGAAACGAGTCACAAATGTGGACCAGTCTGAGACAGTGTACCATCATATCAACACAGTATTTAAATCAGGCCATTTGCACCACTTTGAGTTGATAGGCTGACTAGGCTTCTTAGTCTGCTGGTCTGGTGAGAGTCTTGAGTTTCCGTTTTAAATGAGCCCCATTGAGTAAGCTAAGCTAGACTAGTGTAGCCAATTTTAATGTGCCTGTGTGCTGCTTTTAACGGTTGTTCATTGAGCGCCAGGCAGAAAGAACTCGTTTAGAAAATAACTCTGTTCTTAGCGCTCTCTCTCTTGTAGAGAACCCGTCGGCGCGTTCTGTTCGTTCTATTCCATTGGCTCTACCTAAAAGAGCAAATTGAGGCTATACGTCCCAAATGGCACCCTATTTCCTTATGTAGTAGTGCACTACTTTTGACCAGGGCCTATTCTATGAGCAATGGATTTGGCAAGAGTACAACCAGATCTGGGACCAGGCTAAAATACAACCTCTTTTCAAGTTCAAGTTTGTTTATTCAAGTTTTGTTTATTTGTCATATACAAAGTGAATAAATATATACAATAAGTGAATAAAAAGGGGTAATATTAAATTAAAAACTAGGATTAACATTTAGCAAAAAAAAATCTAACAGAAGAAGGCACACAAAGGTATTGAAGTGGGAAAGTTAACCTAGACACGGACCTTCTATAGAAGGTGCATGCCATGCGGTTGATCCACTTGCACGTCACTGGCTATAATATTAGCCTTTTGCCGAGTCCCCAACAACCAGATGTTCCGGTTTTCAGGGGAAAAGGAAAGAGAGCCTGTGATGCTTTTGGACGTTAACAAGGTTGACACTCCATCTTAACTCTTCCTCCACATTTACTGGATTGGTTGAACAGTGCAGAAGTGAACCTCCCCCGACATATTAAAAAAAATTTCAGGCGTTTCTTTTAAGCCTGCCACGTTAGGTTACTGGCTTAATGTTCTTAGTAGGAAATTTGGGTCGTTGGTCGTTTCTCAAGACAAAATACTGAAAAACGGTCCTATTGAAGCCGTGTAGACAGGCCAAATCACTGCTGTATTTGGAGAGGTGATTTTAACCAGAGTTGAGGCCTGGCAGCACCGTGGCAGGGAGGGGTAGCTAAGGTTTTCTCGACCTTTATAGACTAACCATGATTGCCCCCAAAAATGAGTCCCAAAACGGCACCCTATTCCCTATATAGTGCACTACATTTGACCAGGGCCTATAACTGTTCTATAAAGCCTAGAAAATAAATAGGGTGACATTTGGGACGGACGATAGCAGCCCAGTCTGGATGGAAACTTATTCAACGACTTTAGACATCGAATATTTGAGTGTAACTTTGATATATGGGCTTCGCAGACCAGCTACTGCAGAGCAGAAGCAGAGACAGAATAGCTTTACTGTAGCATGAGTTCACTGCAGAATAGCTTTACTGTAGCACGTGTTCACTGCAGAATAGCTTTACTGTAGCACGTGTTCACTGCAGAATAGCTTTACTGTAGCACGTGTTCACTGCAGAATAGCTTTACTGTAGCACGTGTTCACTGCAGATACCAGTGAGAGAGAGAGACTGAGACATACTTGTAGATATCCTCATTACCACAAAAAAAAAAAAAACGTGTTTTTGTTCTAATGGAATGTTTTATCAAAGGACAGAGGCAAAACGAACTGTACTTTAACTGACATTGAACTGACTAAATGTTACATGTTGTGTGTGTATCATGACATATTCTACTACAGGGCATAACATTTAACACAGATGATATTCTCCTCCCTGTAAGATATTCTACTACAGGGCATAACATTTAACACGGATGATATTCTCCTCCCTGTACGATATTCTACTACAGGGCATAACATTTAACACGGATGATATTCTCCTCCCTGTACGATATTCTACTACAGGGCACAGGCATAACATTTAACACGGATGATATTCTCCTCCCTGTAAGATATTCTACTACAGGGCACAGGCATAACATTTAACACGGATGATATTCTCCTCCCTGTACGATATTCTACTACAGGGCACAACATTTAACACTGATGATATTCTCCTCCCTGTACGATATTCTACTACAGGGCATAACATTTAACACTGATGATATTCTCCTCCCTGTAAGATATTCTACTACAGGGCATAACATTTAACACGGATGATATTCTCCTCCCTGTAAGCCGGGCCGGCCTCTGTTCTACCAAGAGGTCTGCACCTTTATGGCACAGGAGGTAGTGTAAATTGTATCCTGTAAATGGTTCAAGACTTGCACATTCAGACCCCCCCACCCCCTTACACACACACAAACACATCTGCCCTCTAAAAGTCCTCATCTTCCTCTCTATCACTATAATATAAACCATGAGGTGGACTAAAGTCCTCATCTTCCTCTCTATCACTATAATATAAACCATGAGGTGTACTAAAGTCCTCATCTTCCTCTCTATCACTATAATATAAACCATGAGGTGTACTAAAGTCCTCATCTTCCTCTCTATCACTATAATATAAACCATGAGGTGGACTGAAGTCCTCATCTTTTCCATCTTTTTTCCTTGTAGTTCTGTGATTGGCTGAAATCTGTCATCCGGGACCACAGGAGTGTTCCGCTGACGGCGTTCCTGGGAATTCTGTCTGTTATCTATCTGGGAATGTCCCCCTACACCACGCTTCCCACCCTCTTCATCCCCTTCACCCTCTGGATGGCTGGCTGATACCGGAAATTCTGGAAAATCCATAATAAAATTGGATAATATGTATATAGGTGTATATTGTTAGAAATAGAAATGTTCACATGTTAATACAAATGTATTTTCTTTTTAAAACATAATAATTTTGGGAGCGTCTTATATTTGTCCTTGAACTGGAAATGTTGTTTCTTGCATATCCCAACTCCCCCCCTGAGACACACACAGGGAGTGGGTTCACCATTGTACTGCACCCCCTGGAGCAATTAGGGTGAAGTGCCTTGCTCGTGGGCACAGCAACAGATTTTTTCACCTAGTCTTCTCCGGTATTCAAAACAGCGGCCTTTCGGTTACTGGCTCAGCACTCTAACCGTTAGGCTACCTGCCACCCCTAAACAGCAGCGTTATGACAGTGTTCAGACCGTAGCTCATGTCATGCTCTAAATATGTTTTATACCACAAGACAACAGAACAGTCACATTGGCCTTCGAGTTTGGACCCATCTCTAACCATGAACGTTTGCACAGAATGTATTTTTTATTTTATTTTTTACATTGTAAAATGTTAATAATGTATTTGTGATGTAAATAAACACCTGAACGTTAAACACACACGGTAGTGTACTGAGACTGACCTGTTTGTGTTTGTTTGTGTGTGTGTGTGTGTGTGTGTGTGTGTCTGTGTGTGTGTGTGTGTGTGTGTGTGTGTGTGTGTGTGTGTGTGTGTGTGTGTGTGTGTGTGTGTGGAGCGATATCTGCATATTGCACCTTTAATTATATAACCTACCATTGTTGTGGTAGGAGAGGAGGGGACAAGCCTTTGATTAATTCATTCCTTTATTCTCCCAGCATCCCTGAGTCTGGCCAGAGAGACTAATGATCAGGGCTGCAGAATTCCAGTCACCTTCCCAGAATTCCCTGGCGTTTCAGATATCCTGCTTGGAATATTCCTGGTATTATAAAGGAGTGAGGAGAACATCCAGGAATCCTCCAGCCAGGCTTTCTGGAAAACCAGGGAGTTTTGGGGAAGTTGCAGTCAATTTGCAGCCCTAAGGTCATGACGCATTATCCTTTGGTATGGGGAAATAAAATGTATATGTTGTTCCAGATCTGTTTGTGCTGTCTTGCCAACTCCTACGGTCAAAGTTGACTAAACAGCACAAACAGATCTTGGAACCAGGCTAGATCTTTCTCATCCACTACTTTTGACCAGGTCTCGCACCCTATTCCCTATGTAGTGCACTATAGACCAGAGAATGGCACCCTATTCCCTATATAGTGCACTACTTTAGACCAGAGAATGGCACCCTATTCCCTATATAGTCCACTACTTTAGACCAGAGAGTGGCACCCTATTCCCTATATAGTGCACTACTTTAGACCAGAGAATGGCACCCTATTCCCTATATAGTGCACTACTTTAGACCAGAGAATGGCACCCTATTCCCTATATAGTGCACTAATTTAGACCAGAGAATGGCACCCTATTCCCTATATAGTGCACTACTTTAGACCAGAGAATGGCACCCTATTCCCTATATAGTGCACTACTTTTGGCCAGAGCCATGGGTCTTGGTCAAACATAGTGCACTATACAGGGAATAGGGTGCAGATTCAGACTTTAGACCTAACATTGGGAAATAATAGCATTGTTCTGTTAAGCTTATGTACTTGCTGCTCCAAAAATCCAAATCTCTTTACGTTCCGAATGGCACCCTATTCCCTATATAGTGCACTACTTTAGACCAGGACCTATAGGGACTAGGCTGCCATTTGTGATGCAGACTTTCTTTGTTATTGATGAAATACTCAGCAAAAGTGTCCACATCACTCTAATCCACAGCTCTGAGTAGGAGTTGTCCTTAGGCACAGATCTAGGATCAGCTTAGCCTCAGTCAAATCCTAGCCTTAATCATTTTGGGGAAGCACAAAACTGACCTTAGATCAGTGGTAAGTACTAATTCCTTCAGCTCCACCTACCTAGTGGCTGGGCTAATAAAAACATCCAGGTAGCGAACTCTCCCCTCTCTCTCTCTTTCAGAACTCTGTCTCTCCGTGTCTCCGTCAACACTCCAACTCTCCTCCTACACATTCTGTCCATCTCTCCCTCTCTCTCTTTCAACACTTCCTCTATCTCTCCTTATTTTTTTCCCTCACTCTCCATCTCTCCAGTCCTCTTTTCCATCTCTCACTCTCTCTCTCTCTCTGTCTCTCTCTCTCTCTCTCTCTCTCTCTCTCTCTCTCTCTCTCTCTCTCTCCTCTCTCTCTCTCTCTCTCTCTCTCTCTCTCTCTCTCTCTCTCTCTCTCTCTCTCTCTCCCTCCATCTCCCCTTCTCCTCCTCCGTGTCAGGACCATGTTTCCTCTCACCCTCCTCAGCCTGCTCTTCATCACCCCACAAACAGACGACAAGAAAGAGAAAGAAAAAACCCTGGCAACAACCAAAGAGGAAGCTCCATCTAAGTATGACTCCATGTTCCAGAGAGGGGACCTGTTGAAGGTATGGAATAAATTAATGTAGTCAAATGGCTGAGGCAACTCTATGGCTGAGGCAACTCTATGGCTGAGGCAACTCTATGGCTGAGGCAACTCTATGGCTGAGGCAACTCTATGGCTGAGGCAACTCTATGGCTGAGGCAACTCTATGGCTGAGGCAAGTCTATGGCTGAGGCAACTCTATCGCTGAGTCAACTCTATGGCTGAGGCAACTCTATGGCTGAGGCAACTCTATGGCTGAGTCAACTCTATGGCTGAGGCAACTCTATGGCTGAGGCAACTCTTTCGCTGAGGCAACTCTATGGCTGAGGCAACTCTATGGCTGAGGCAACTCTATGGCTGAGGCAACACTATGGCTGAGGCAACTCTATGGCTGAGGCAACTCTATGGCTGAGGCAACTCTATGGCTGAGGCAACTCTATGGCTGAGGCAACTCTATGGCTGAGGCAACTCTATGGCTGAGTCAACTATATGGCTGAGGCAACTCTATGGCTGAGTCAACTATGGCTGAGGCAACTCTATGGCTGAGGCAACTCTATGGCTGAGGCAACTCTATGGCTGAGGCAAGTCTATGGCTGAGGCAACTCTATGGCTGAGTCAACTCTATGGCTGAGGCAACTCTATGGCTGAGGCAACTCTATGGCTGAGGCAACTCTATGGCTGAGGCAAGTCTATGGCTGAGGCAACTCTATGGCTGAGGCAACTCTTTCGCTGAGGCAACTCTATGGCTGAGCCCCAATTGGCGCCCTATTCCCTTCGCTCCCTCTGGTCTAAAGTAGTGCACTATATAGGGAATAGGGTGCCATTCTCTGGTCTAAAGTAGTGCACTATATAGGGAATAGGGTGCCATTCTCTGGTCTAAAGTAGTGCACTATATAGGGAATAGGGTGCCATTCTCTGGTCTAAAATAGTGCACTATATAGGGAATAGGGTGCCATTCTCTGGTCTAAAGTAGTGGACTATATAGGGAATAGGGTGCCATTCTCTGGTCTAAAGTAGTGCACTATATAGGGAATAGGGTGCCATTCTCTGGTCTAAAATAGTGCACTATATAGGGAATAGGGTGCCATTCTCTGGTCTAAAGTAGTGCACTATATAGGGAATAGGGTGCCATTCTCTGGTCTAAAGTAGTGAACTATATAGGGGATAGGGTGCCATTCTCTGGTCTAAAGTAGTGCACTATATAGGGAATAGGGTACCATTCTCTGGTCTAAAGTAGTGCACTATATAGGGAATAGGGTGCCATTCTCTGGTCTAAAGTAGTGCACTACATAGGGAATAGGGTGCCATTCTCTGGTCTAAAGTAGTGCACTACATAGGGAATAGGGTGCCATTCTCTGGTCTAAAGTAGTGCACTATATAGGGAATAGGGTACCATTCTCTGGTCTAAAGTGGTGCACTACATAGGGAATAGGGTGCCATTCTCTGGTCTAAAGTAGTGCACTACATAGGGAATAGGGTGCCATTCTCTGGTCTAAAGTAGTGCACTAGATAGGGAATAGGGTGCCATTCTCTGGTCTAAAGTAGTGCACTATATAGGGAATAGGGTGCCATTCTCTGGTCCAATGTAGTGCACTATATAGGGAATAGGGTACCATTCTCTGGTCCAATGTAGTGCACTATATAGGGAATAGGGTGCCATTTGGGACACTAAATGTATTTTAAACATGTCCAATATAACTCATTCGTTCAGGTACCCCGGACGTTGTTCACTCATTTTGGGATCTACCTGGGCGGAGGCAAGGTGGCTCACCTGATACCCGACATACTGCCTATGGTGTCAGAGGATGAGGAAGCTGTCAGAGAGATGGTCACCAATAACAGACTGATACTGGGGGGTCATCGCTAAGGTGACGGGGGACTGGGGGAGGGGGGACTGGGGGGGGGGGGGACTGGGGGGGGGACGGGGGGACTGGGGGGGGGAGGGGGGGGGACTGGGGGGGGGGGACTGGGGGGGGGGGGACTGGGGGGGGGGGGGGGGGGGGGGACTGGGGGGGGACGGGGGTGATGTGTGGTGTGGTGTCTGATGATGAGGAGGCTATCATCACTACCGTAAATGGGAGAAAGTGTGTGTGTGTGTGTGTGTGTGTGTGTGTGTCTGACGATGGAGAATTCGTATGAATTCGTATGAAGGTATGTTAGAGGTAACTGTGTGTTTGTGTGTGTGTGTGTGTGTGTGCGTGCGTGTGTGTGTGTGTGTGCGTGCGTGCGTGCGTGCGTGCGTGCGTGCGTGCGCGTGCGTGCGCGTGCGTGCGTGCGTGTGAGTGTGTGTGTGTGTGTGTGTGTGTGTGTGTGTGTGTGTGTGTGTGTGTTCTCTAACTGTCCTCCTCCTCTCTCAGTGTGCCAGTGTGAGGGTGGACACTGTGGAAGACTTTGCGTACGGCTCAGAGATTATTGTGAACCCCATGGATAAGGTACAGTAAGCAGGCAGCCATAGATGAACTGTCTGGTTTAAACATGGTGGATACTGACAAGCCAGCCTGATCCTGCTAGCTTACATAAATATGCTATAAGGAATCAGTGTAGCACATACACTATATATATATATATATATATATATATATATATATACAAAAGTATGTGGACACCCCTTCAAATTAGTGGATTCGGCTATTTCAGCCACACCCGTTGCTGACAGGTCCATAAAATCAAGCACACAGCCATGCAATCTCCATAGACAAACATTGGAAAAGCCGACTGCGAGCCAGGCCTAATCGCCCGACGTCAGTGCCCGACCTCACTAAATGCTCTTGTGGCTGAATGGAAGCAAGTCCCCTCAGCAATGTTCCAACATCTAGTGGAAAGCCTTCCCAGAAGAGTGGAGGCTGTTATAGCAGCAAAGGGGGGGGACCAACTCCATATTAATGCCCATGATTTTGGAATGAGATGGTCGACGAGCAGGTGTCCACATACTTTTGGTCATGTAGTGTATATTAAACGATTAAAGCTTGTGTCCACATACTTTTGGTCATGTAGAGTATGTCTGTAAGCTCACCAGATCAGGCTCGCGAGTCTAACTCGATGTATCTATTCACTACTTCAATATACTCAAGACTATAAAAACAGTGAACAGTGACTATTTCAGATGCATCCTGTCTGTATCTCTGTCTCTGTCTATCAGGTGTCTGTATCTCTGTCTATCAGGTGTCTGTATCTCTGTCTATCAGGTGTCTGTATCTCTGTCTATCAGGTGTCTATCTGCTATCTCTGTCTATCAGGTGTCTGTACTCTGTCTATCAGGTGTCCTGTGTCTCTGTCTATCAGGTGTCTGTATCTCTGTCTATCAGGTGTCTTATCTCTGTCTATCAGGTGTCTGTATCTCTGTTGTCTATCAGGTTGTATCTGTCTATCGTGTCTGTTCTGTTATCAGGTGTCTGTATCTTTTGTTCTCTGTCTATCAGGTGTCTGTATCTCTGTCTATCAGGTGTCTTATCTCTGTATCTTCTGTCTCTGTCTATCAGGTGTCTGTATCTCTGTCTCTGTCTATCAGGTGTCTGTATCTTTGTATCTCTGTCTATCAGGTGTCTGTATCTCTGTATATCAGGTGTCTGTATCTCTGTCTCTGTCTATCAGGTGTCTGTATCTCTGTCTGTCAGGTGTCTGTATCTCTGTATCTCTGTCTATCAGGTGTCTGTATCTCTGTATATCAGGTGTCTGTATCTCTGTCTCTGTCTATCAGGTGTCTGTATCTCTGTCTGTCAGGTGTCTGTATCTCTGTATCTCTGTCTATCAGGTGTCTGTATCTCTGTATATCAGGTGTCTGTATCTCTGTCTCTGTCTATCAGGTGTCTGTGTCTCTGTCTGTCAGGTGTCTGTATCTTTGTATCTCTGTCTATCAGGTGTCTGTATCTCTGTATATCAGGTGTCTGTATCTCTGTCTCTGTCTATCAGGTGTCTGTATCTCTGTCTGTCAGGTGTCTGTATCTCTGTATCTCTGTCTATCAGGTGTCTGTATCTCTGTCTATCAGGTGTCTGTATCTCTGTCTATCAGGTGTCTGTATCTCTGTCTGTCAGGTGTCTGTATCT